CCTCCACTTCCTCCCCTGGACCCACTTCCTCCACCATGGCCACCTCCACTTCCTCCTCCAGAGCTACTTCCTCCCCCATAGCTGCCTCCACTTCCTCCCCTGGACCCACTTCCTCCACCATGGCCACCTCCACTTCCTCCTCCAGAGCTACTTCCTCCCCCATAGCTGCCTCCACTTCCTCCCCTGGATCCTCTTCCATGACTGCCCCCACTTCCTCCTTGCCTCCCTCTGCCACCTCCAAAGCCAATTTGTCCAGCTCCAGAAGATTCACTGAGAAACAAAAAAACACAGAGATAAAATGACTGGCCCCATATACAAGGCTGGGCCTGGACAGAGGCAAGACCCAAATGTGAATCTTCCTGTCTACCTTCCTGGGACAGAGGACAGAGGACAGAGTGGGCTGGCACCAGAGCTGGGACTGTGAGGACTGCCCCTCCCTGGGCAGGGAGGTAACCCCTTCTCTCATTGTCATCATCCTCCTTTCCCGAAGCCCAAATGCCCTGAGGTCCCCCTGCAGGATGAAGAAGGCCTCCACCATCACACTCGTGCATACAAGGTCTTCCCCAGCTGCCTCCATGCAGAGGGACAAAAGTAGCATCAGAGGCCGGGGGTCCCACAGAATCCTGGGGCACCTACAAGTCTTCCTGGCCACCCTCAAGGAGGTGGCGGTAGGTCTCGATTTCCTTCACCAGCCGTATCTTGATGCTGAGCAGAAGGCTGTATTCCTGACTCTGGCACTCAATCTCCGCCCGGATCTCAGTGAGCTGTTCCTCCAGGTTACCGATCTGCCCCTGGATCTGCTGCAGCTGGCCACAGTAGTGGTTCTTAGTGTTTTCCAAGGCCTTCTCCAGGGCCGATTTCTAGGGGGCAGGAGGAGGCTTTAAGAGGGATGCTACACCATAGGGCTTCTCCTTCCCGCTCCTGGGGATCATTCAAAGCTTTTCTGTGGCCTGGCAGAGGGTCCACAGCAGAATTACCAACCTTGCTGAGCTGAGATTGCAGCTCAATCTCTAACTCCTGGACACTGTGCCAGAGGTGGGTCACCTCCTTAGTGTTGGACTCCATCTCCTTGCCACTCTTCGTCACCTGCTGCTCGATCTGGTCCATCTGCAAACCCAAAGGCTCAGTAAGGACCAGGCTGGGCCAGGAATTTCAGTGTACGAGGGTCTGTATCACCACCAGGATCTCAACCTCCAGGGCTAAGGCTGAGCCAAAGCCAAGGATAAGTGGTTCTGAATTCTGAGTCCCTCCAGCCATGTAGGGTTGTCCAGTTCTCTCAACATGACATTCCTTCTTAGCAAGGTTTCAAGACCTTTCGTGCTTCGTCCCCAAATCATTTTTCTGACTTTGTTTCAAACTGCCCCCACCTTCTAAACACATACACGTGCACACACATGCGTGCACACACACACTCACACACACACACTCACACACACTCACACACTCACACACACTCACACACTCACTCACACACACTCACACTCACACACTCACACTCACACACACTCACACACTCACACACACACACTCACACACACACACACACACACACTCACACACTCACACACACACACTCACACACACACACACACACACACACACACACTCACACACACACACTCACACACACTCACACACTCACACACACTCACACACTCACTCACACACACTCACACTCACACACTCACACTCACACACACTCACACACTCACACACACACACTCACACACACACACACACACACACACACACACTCTACAGACCACGTCTCTATGTGCCGGGCTCTACGATAGGCACTGGAGATCCGGGGAGGAAGGGAGCCATCGAGGGGCTCAGTGTCGTATGCGGCACACTGTGTCCCCCTAGTAGAGTCTTACATCACGTAGCATTACAGTACGTTATTCACGCTCTGCATTTGTTCGCAAACATCTAATAAACCGTGAGCTTCTCAAGGGCGGGAATCTTATTTGGCTCATCTCTGAGACTTCAGCACTTTACACAAACCCGACACCCAGAAGCTGCTCTATGCTTCCGTTTGTGTGCAGTGAGTGAAGACGGGCGGATGACAGCCGCGCCGAGAGACGGAGAGGTGGCAGAGTGGAGGGATGGGAGAAGACAGGGATGGGGTGGGGGAACTGAGGGACACACAGATGGAGGGACAGGAGCTTGAGTGAGCAACCATGCTGCTCACCTGAGACTCATACTGTTGTTCGATGTCCTTACGGTTCTTGGCAATGAGATGCTCATAGTCCTGGCGCATGTCATTGAGGATCTTGGTCAGATCTTTGCCAGGAGCAACATTCATCTCCACATTGACATCCCCAGTGTTCTTCCCAGTCAGCTGGCTCATCTCCTGCCAGGAAAGAAGGGAATACGAGCTCTATCAGGCCTCACGATCAGCTTAGCATAAGCACAGCCATGTTAACCGCTTCCTCACCCGGCTCCCTACCCGCTCCCTTTCTCTTAAGCAAAGCGCTTTTTCAGAAAAACTGGATTTTGTGAAGAACGGAATCTTGTGCAAAACAGGAAAACTGCAAAGCACCTACAAAGTGCTGGATGCTCAAAATAGCTACCAAACTCCTTTCCCTAATTCAAATCCTAGAAAACCTCTATTAGTTTGTACGGGGGCAGGAACTAACCTTTCAATCTCCCCTCCAGGTTTGCTGGAAATAAACTTCCTGACGTGGTAAGTGTTTGGCTCAGAGTCCTTTAGTCTCTTTGTCTCACCAACCTAACAAGGTCCGGGGGTGGGATCCTCTTCCCTACCTTTCAGCTTTCTCCCTCTGGCCCCCTCAACATGTTTCCTTACCGCGTCTGGTCCAAGTAGGCTCCCAACACATATGAGAGGAGAAAAAAATAACCACTCGCTACAAGCAAGAGGTGCTAAGAACCAAAAGAGGACACAGTCGTGAAGCCACAGCCCAGCCACCACCGTAGGCAGGTCTGTGGAGCAGCTAGGAGTGTCCTCAAAAGTGAGGGAGAGGGGGTCTCCCAGGCAGTGCTCTACAGCCCCCCGCTGTCACTGCACCGCTGCCCCTCCCCCTCCCCAACAAGCCTCTGCAGCCAGGACGCTACCTCCTGGTGATTCTTCTTGAGGGACATCAGCTCCTCCTGCAGAGTTTCATACTGCATCTCCAGGTCAGACTTTTCCATGGTCAGACTGTCCAGCACCTGCCGCAGGCCATTGACGTCAGCCTCCACCCCTTGCCGCAGGCTCTGCTCCATCTCTAACCTGCAGACCAGCAGGTAGGGGGTGATCGAGAGGGCACCAGGCCCTCCAGGGGCCTCCAGAGCACTGGGGGTGGGGTAAGGACTGATGACAGGAGAGGGAGAAGGGAGCAAGACTCACTTCACCCTGAAGTCATCCAGCGTCATGCGAGTGTTGTCGATGTCCAGGAGCCTTTTGTTATTGTCCACTGTCAGGTCCACAACCTGAAAGAAAGGAGACAGAATGAAGCCATGTTCCCCTGCTATGACCCACTGCTTGGAGGGGAGGAGGCAGGAGATGCCTGAGGGGTAGAAGATAGTTCCAACAGCTGGTACAGGGCACAGACCCCTCACAGCCTTCAGCAAGGATGTTCAGTGTGGCCTACACTTATTCATTCAACAAAATTTTGAAAGTCTACTGCAAAGGACACTGTGAGGTTTATATATCAGTGACATTCTCTTCCTCAAGAAGCCCACCATCAACTTCAAAGTCCAAAGTATCCTAAAAGAGTTCAAGGAAAGGAGAGATGGCTTATGGCTACGGGAGATGAAGAAAGACTTCAGAAAGGAGGTGGCGAGTGAACTGAGCCCTCACAGATGGCTGAGACTGCACATGGATACATAGATGGAAGAGGTTTGGGGCAGAAGAAATAGCTCACCCAGAGGCACGACGGTGTGAAAGCAAGGGGCGCGGGTGAGTACAGTAAGGAGCCAGACTGTGAGCTCCTCAGAGGGCAGAACCTGGGTCTGGTACGTGACTGTCTGCCCAGAGCAAAACCGAGGGTGGCCACTCACAAAACTGAGTGGATGAGTACATGGATAGATAGATGGACATGTGGATGGACGGATGGATGGATGGATGGATGGATGGATGGATGGATGGATGGATGGATGGATGGATGGATGGATGGATGGATGGATGGATGGATGGATGGATGGATGGATGGATGGATGGATGGATGGATGGATGGATGGATGGATGGATGGATGGATGGATGGATGGGATGAGAGGATGATGGATGGATGGATGGATGGATGATGGATGGATGATGGATGGATGATGGATGGATGGATGGATGATGGATGGATGGATGGATGGATGGATGGATGGATGGATGATGGATGGATGATGGATGGATGGATGGATGGATGATGGATGGATGGATGGATGGATGAGAGGATGATGGATGGATGGATGGATGGATGATGGATGATGGATGGATGATGGATGGATGGATGGATGGATGGATGATGATGGATGGATGGATGATGGATGGATGGATGGATGGATGGATGGATGGATGGATGGATGGACGGATGAGAGGATAGATGGCTTTCATCCCCAGAGTTCTAGATCCTTTCCATCATTTGAACAATCAGCATGTATATCTGGATCCAAAAAACCTGAAAAGATCAAGATAGGCCCCGATAGCAATTCAGGAGAAGTAGGAAGGGACTGACTTGGGACCAGGCCAAAAGGAGGCTCCACATCCAGTTCCAGCCTCACCCACATTGATCCAGGCCTCCTTCCTCCTCTCCCTAGACTGAAAGTTGGGGAAATGGACAGAAAAGCCCAGAGCACAGGCCAAAGTCCCAGCCCTGGAGCCCTCAGGAGCCAAACACAAGTTTGTTTCTGATGAAAATTTAAAGTTTCCAGAAGATAGAATCCCTGGCGTTTGTCTGAGCTTAGAGTCTAGCATCTTACCTTTTTGGAAGATAGAGCACGTAAATGAGTGTGTGAGAGAGAGAGAGAGACAGAAACAGAGAGAAAGACTGGAATTTCCAGGGCCTACCTGGTTCTTGAGACCCGCCAAGGTGTCGTAGTAAGAGGAGTAGTCCTTCTGGAAGATTCTGGGTCCTTTGTCGTCATACCACTCCTGGATCTTATTCTCCAGCTTGGCGTTGGCCTCCTCTAGCGCCTGCACTTTATCCATGTAGGAGGCCAGCCGGACGTTGAGGTCCTGCATGGTGGTCTTCTCATCAGCAGCCAGAATGCCACCGTCACTGCCTCCAGCACCACCACCAAAGCCACCTCCGAAGCCCCCAGAGCCACCAAAGCCTCCTCCAGAACCACCACCAAAACCCCCGGAACCTCCCCCAAAGCTACCACCAAAACTACCAGCACTAAAACCACCCCCAGAGCCTCCGCCATAGCTGGATCCAAAACTACTGCCCCCTCCGCCACCTCCCCTCCCACAGGCACGAGAGCTGCCCCCACCATAGCCACTGGAAGAGCTGAATCGGCCCCCTCCTCCACCAGCCCCTGAGGAGCTGAAGCGGCTGAAAGAAGACCTCGCGCTGCCCCCGCCACCCCCGTCGCCCCCGCGGCCCCAGTAGCTGGAGGAGAACTGTCTGCAAGTCATGGTGCTGTCCCCAGCTTGTGGGTAGGAAGCGGTGTAGGAGTGCTGCTGGCTCTGGAAGCCTGTCCCCAGGGCCGCCTACTTATACCCGGTGCTGAAGGTGGCACGCCTGGGTGTGCCCTCGGTCTGGGCCAGCCTCCCCTCACAGACTCAAAGGAGGTCGGGGATACGGGAGGCAGTCGGGCTGCCCCAGGCTCAGCGTCCTCTGGTGACTGCCCAGAGGGGGCCCAGCCCCTCTCCATTGTGTGGGGTAATTTGAGGATATTAGGCTGTCAGGGGCACCATAAATCAGCTCTGCTGCCAAGGGGGTGACCTAGATCCTGGAGTTTGGTCTCCAGCTGGCCCCAACAGCAGGCCTGAGACTGAGCCCTTCTAAGATAGAAACTCCCAGGAGAAGAGTCCCACCAAAGCCCAGTGTGGACTGGGCTGGGACTAGGTACAAAGGAGCCATTATAGAGGATGGGGGAGGCACAGCCCCTGCCTTCTTGTCGCCCCAATCTGATGGGAAACCAGTCCTCACTCTTGGGATCCTCAAGGTTGACTTGGGAGACAGAGGTTTTGCCCCCAGAAGGCTTCAGCTTGGCGCGGAGACAAGTGGCATGGCCAAAAAGCAGACGGTAGCACACAGCGGTGTGTCTGCCAGCACTGGAGAACAGGCAGAGCTCCCATGGAGGACTGGGAGAAGACAGCGGACCAGACAAATAAAGTGGGGCTAACACTAGCTGACCTCCGAGCAGGAATGCTAGTGGCTGCATTGTCCTGGTCCTTTCGCGGGGCCCACCAGTGGGTATGGAATTGACCTTGGTTGGGCACCTACCCTGTACTGAGCCCTGGAAGGGATACAGAGATGTGTGACTTATCCTTGCTCCTGGCAGAAACTCAGATGCATATTTTGGTCACCAAGCCCAGAAGAGGGTGGTGAAGAAAGCTGTGGGCTCTGGGGCTAGACCACCCGAACTCAGTCCAGCTCCATGCTCTCTGGCTGTGCAACTTTGATAAGTTACTTAACCCCTTGTGCCTCAATTCCCTCCTCTGTGAAGTGACAGTATCAATAGCTTGCCCATCTCCTAGTAAGAGACACATAAGGAACACTCAAGAAGCGTTAGAGCACCTCTGATTGTCCAAGCCCCCAACTCCTTCTCAAGTCCGCCCTCACCCAGACTTCGCCATCAGCTTCTAACTGTTCTCCCTGCCTCTCCCTTGTCCCTCTGACTCCTGCACAGCAGCCGGAATGATCTTTCTAAACCATGTGTGACCACATCATTCCAATGTCTTCCTTTCACCCCCAAAATAAGGTTTACATTCCTGACACTCAAGGCCCATGCCCTGTCTCTTTATTCCTGCCCCATCTCCAACCATTCCCTAGACCCCGTACCAAATCATGCAATGTTCCCAAAACACCCCACCTACCTCAAAGAACACTCAGCGCCTGCAGTTTCCTTCACCTGAAAAGTCCCTCCCTGTCTTTTCTACACAAGAAACTCCTGCTCATCTTCAGCGACCCCTCTGGGTGCCGCCTCCTCCATGAAGCTCCTCTGGGTTTGCACTTGGCTCCGTCAGTCAGTTTCTCACACTGTATCTCCACAGCTGTCCCCTGTCGGCAGCTGCAGCTCCTCTGAGCCTGCACCTGCTCATCTTGTGCTTCCCAGAGCCCAGCGCCACGTCTGGTCCAAGTAGGATCCCAACACATATGAGATGAGAGAAAAGGCAATTATCTCTGGGCTGAGGCCGAAGGATGTTTAAGCATCGTAAAGAACCAGTGTTTCTTGAGATGCTTTTAGGTGGTGCACAGAGACTGTTAAATGATACCAAATCACTTAATAAGAGTATTTCTTTTTTCTATTTTCTATCATCTAATTAGTCAAGGAGAAAATCTCAGTGGGGCACTACAGCCTCTTTAATACCCCCAACACTTGTCAATCACCCTGTTCAATAAAACAAAAGTTGGCTCAGAACCTTTAGGAACAATGGCACCTAGAAGAAAGTTAAGTATTTATTTATATCATTTCCTTCTATTTCTGATAAATGATTCTGATTTTCCTTTTTTTGGTAGTTATATAAGATTTCCTTTATAAATATATTTGTTGAAATGAAAGATGAGCTAATTTATCAAAATATGTTAAATAAATATGTAAATGAGTGCTACGAAATACACTAAATAAAATATTAGAAATTAAGTAGATAGTACAGAGAATATCGAAGGCATTTTGTGAATGCCTAAAACATGGGGAACTCTTAGACCAGGGCTGGCAGGAAGGATGCTGATTCCCTTTCTACTTTCTTGAGTGGTTCTAAACCTTCCCCAGGTCCCTGCAAAGCTCTCCCGGGAAGCCCAGAATCTGCCTGCAATGTGGTCTGAGGCCTGGGAACTTACCCCCTTCTCCATCCCCACGCTGATGTCGCCAATCTGCTGAGGATGTAAACCCCAGGCCCCAGGTGCCTGAGCTGGATGAGGAGAGGCTGGGCAGACATGAAGGTGGGCAGCCGTGGGGAGAGCCAGCAGGACGGCACTTCTGGGACCCTGCATGCATTCATGTTGGAGGATCTTGAGAACAGTTGAGACCTGCTTGACTGATCAGAAGCTCCCAGCTGGGGCACCCTACACAGCTGGCTTTCTTGAGAGATGGCCCATTTCCAGCCCTGGTGCAAAACCCACCAACCTCTGCCCTCACCACCTCTCCAACTTCCCACCCTCCAACCATGCCCTGAGCCTCACTCAGAGCAGCAGTCTCTGGCCCTCAGAATTCCATCCCAGCTCCCCAGGAAGGCAAGCTGCCTATGGGGCCCACTGCCCCCTGGCCCTCTCCCTCACCCATCTCCCAGGGGCCAGCGATCAGAGGACTTGACAGTCCATTTGCTCCATCTGGGCCGTCAAACCTGGCCCTCCCCCGAATGTTGGACCTACCCGGCCAATCCTCTGCGTAGATTGAGGGACCCCTCACAACTCCCCTCCTGTCTCTGAGTGCTAAGAAGCTTGGGCCTTTCTCCCACGTCTCAGCCGTCCCCGCCCGTCAGCTCCCAGCGCCTGTGCTCTCACTGTCTGGTCTTCCCTGCTGGGATTCCAGGGCACAGTTGAGTAGAGAGAGCAGCAGCTCCTCAGAGACAGGGCCAGGCCACCTGCCAGCCCCACCCTCCCTCGCCCTGTGGCCTTGGCCTCAGTTTCCTTATGAGAAGCCTCTTCATGCAGAGTTGCCGAGGGCCATAAAGACGGAGGGGTCTCCAGATGAATGCCCAGCTACCATCCAGGTGCAGGCCTCTCCTGACAAGGGCCCTTGTCCCTCCACATCTGTCAGTTTTCTCCACATATGGCCCTGCCTTCCGACATGAAGAGGAGCTCCCTGTGCTGGACAACGACAGTCCAGTGGCAGCTGGCACCACTTCTCCTCCTCCCGAGCTCTCCGCCTGGGACAGGGAACCAGACTGGCAAGACAGGGTCAGAGATAAGGGAAGCCGCTAGCCCTGGCCTGAGTGAGTGATTTCTTGTAGGCCGTGTGACATGGTCACTCTTCTACCCACCAACACCTCCCATGGGAACCCTCCAGAGAGTGAGCAATGAAAGGAGCCCTGGTAGCTCATGGCACTCGGGCACCTGAGCCCCAGCCGGAGTCAGCATTGACTCTCTGCAGCCCATGTGCAAGGCTGCGGCCTAGACCCACAGTGCCAGCATCCCAAGTACAGGCCCTGCTCTTACAGGGTGCATGGAGTAGGAGAGAAGGGGCATCGAGGACTCCCACAGGCAGACAGATGGACAGAGATGGAACCAAACAGAGAATCCACCTGCAAGTTGTCTCCAAAGGGAAAGGGGCCCTCCATTAGGGGCTCGAGGACTTGGGGGCAGGACAAGAACAGTCCTGTTCCGGCCATGGATCCTTGCTTCTTGCCTGTAGCCAGCTGCCCATACCCCCCACTTGCTGCCCACTGATATCTGTCATTGAGCCCCCGGTGCAGCTCAGGGAGAGACTTGAGTCACCGTGTGGCTGGCAGCTGGGAGAGGGAGTGCAGGCATGAGTCACAGCGCCTCCTCTGGCACAGGGGCCCGCCTCTCCATGAGCTGTCTGGGCAGGTGCACACTGCCCACCAGCACTAGGCTGTCAACACTGAGTCTTTCTCATGCAATAGGCACCTGCATCACGCCACCTAGGCCGACACCACCAGACCAAGGTGAGGGGATGGGATGGGTCCTCGGCTGGCACCTCCACCTGAGCCTAGACACCCCGGGCTGGTGTCTGCCAGGACACACCTAGCAGAGAGGCTGAGGGCACATGCTTTGGAGCCAGACAGGTCTGAGTCTAGAAACACTCACTTGGGGAAGGTTGCTTCCCCTCTCTGGACATGTTTTCTCACTGTAAATGTGGATGCATCCTTTATAGAGCACTACTGTGTGCCAGGCATTGTGCTGGGGATAAAGTGTTGAGTAAGCCCCTACCTTCTTGGACAGTTATGGGAAAAAACAGACCCTCAAACATAAATATATAATTCAAAACTAAAGTGAGCACTGTTGGTGGGAAAATGGGGAACACATAATAAGGGGTGTGGCCTGGGGATCAGGGACTGTCTCCCTGAGAAAGAGACACTTGAGTGAAGGGTATGCAGGAAGGAGACAGGAGAAGGAAAAGGGGAAGAGGGACAAAAAGCATGTGCAAATGTCCTGAGGCAGGGAGGACACATGTTTGCAAGGGCGGAAGTCCAGAGTGGCTAAAGAGAGGGCAGCGGACATGGGGAGCCTGGCCCCCAGCTGAGTGTACCCCAAGAGTGAGGTGTCCTCAAGAGAGAGGACATGCGCTTGCGGGGTTCATGCTCTGCTGAGGAGACCTTCCTCTAACACCCAACTTGGTGACAGGGACTTCACCTGGTGGGATGGGCCCAATGGTACTTTACATAATAAAAGTTGAACATGTCCGCTTAAAAAAAGAAAAGAAAAGAAAAGAGAGGGCAGTGGATTAGGTCAAAGAGAGAATTTCGGAGGAGAAAAATACTTCTGACCTCAATCTCATGAGGTTGTTGTGAGGCTTAAAAGAGCTAATACTGTAAGACTCCCGGTGTGGGTCTGGCACACAGTGGCACACTTTCCTGTCAGTGCCACTGTGCCTGCTCCCTGACGTCCCCCGGGCTGTCTGGACAACTTGGGTTCTAAGCTGTCTTGCTTAGTATTAGTTCATCCCTTTAGTCTATTGAGCCGCATTAAGATCAAGCACCTGTGCCAAGAGAGGGCTGGGAGGACACACAAAGGTTGGAGGGTCGTGGCTCCTCCCGTCAAGGAACCGCCAGTGTTGCAAGCAAGACCCTCGTTGCTTTGCCTGCACTCTTGTATTTAATCTTTACCAGATATTTTATGAGCTGGGTACTAACTGTAAGATCATCTTACAGGGGAGGAAATTGAGGCTCAGAGGGGGTAAGTATGTTGGCCACAGTCACAGAACTAAACGAGCAGAGGGTGGAGCCAGGGTTGGTCCTCCAGTGCACGGGAGCAAAGACAGGCACCAGCTCGGGGCTCCTTCTCTCTACTCCAAGTCCCACACATTCTCTGGGCCCCTCTCCGCCTTCCTCCTCACTTTGTCTCTCTTCTCGTTCAGCCCGTCCCAACTCTTTCCTATCTCCCCACACCTAGAACAGTAAGCTTCAGTAAGTTTGTGTGGATGAGTGAACGAACGGACAAGTAAATGAACGCTTCTCACTGCCCAGCCCTAGCCCAGGGCCTTGACCATCCTCTCTTTCTGACTCTCTCTCTCTCTCTCTCTCTCTCTCTCTATCCCTCTCTCCCTCTCTCTCCATCTCTCTCTCCATCTTTCTCTCTCTCTTTTCTCTCTCTATCCCTCTCTCCCTCTCTCTCCATCTCTCTCTCCATGTCTTTCTCTCTCTCTCTCCCTCTCTCTCCATCTCTCTCTCTCCCTCTCCTTCTCTCTCTCTCCATCCATCTCTCTCCATCTGTCTTTCTCTGTAGCTCTCTCTCTGATTATGTCCCTCTCTCCCTCTCTCTGTTCTATATGCAATTCTGTTTCCCTCTATTGCTCTGTTTTTATTTGCCCTTTCTCCCATGCCAAGTCACCCCCAGATTTCATCAGAGTACCTCAAAGGAAAAAGGCTTCCTTTTCCAGGCCTGGCCTTACAGAGGGAAGCCCCACAGGAAAACTCTGGCCCAGCAAATGGTGATGGAGGAGGAGCTGGGGCCTCCTGTATCTGCCTGAGGCCGGGCCATAGACCTGGAAGTCCCTGGCAGCCCTTGTTCCCTTCATGGCAGCATCCAAGCTCCACGAGGTGGGCCAGGGAACCTCCTGAACACCAGCCAGGACATCAGGGCCTCCTTGGGGCGCCCTCCTTTGACACCGCCTGTAGGAACAGTTGGCTACATTACCCAAACCAGGTCATCTGTGGCCTTGGGGAAGAACCATGTGCCTGATCAGGTAACCATAGGGAGAAATGCCACCTGCTGCCTATAAAGTTCCCTGGAATCAAGGGCCAGCTCGTGGCTCACTCGGGAGAGTGTGGTGCTGATAACACCAAGGCCACGGGTTAGGATCCCTTCATAGGGACGGCCGGTTGGCTCACTTGGGAGAGCGTGGTGCTGACAACACCAAGTCAAGGGTTAAGATCCCCTTACTGGTCATCTTTAAAAAAAAAAAAAAAAGTTCCCTGGAATCATTTGAAATCTTTTCTCAATAAAAATATCCCCCAAAACTAAAGGGGACTGAGAATTTCAAGGTGGGGCCCATCCCATAAAACAAAAACCTTGAAGTAAGCTAGGAAAAATACATGCTGATTTCACTGGACTCAGCTTTACCTCATCCCAAGGGAGAACAGAACAGGAATAAAGCCACCAGGGCACGGCACAAGGCTGGTCTCAGGCTGGGCTTGGCCTCCTTCAGCAAGCCAGTCTCCCTAGGATGAGGACGTTAGAGGAGTGGCCTGCCTGGCACTGCCCCATTCTGTGTGCTGGGAAGGCCCAGAGAGGACCGCACCTCCCCCACTACCTTAGGGGGAGGCGCAGCAAGAGGGATCACGTGACCCACCCCCGGGCTCTGAGAGGCAACCCCTCCTGCGTCCACCAGACGGTGCTATCGAGTCACTTTTCTGGTCTATTGTTTAGATGGGGGCGGGGCAGACAGTCTCACCATTGTCAGAGCCGCCAGGCCCAGGTCTTGAATTGGCTGCTTGTGGCCACCAGGCCCTCTGGACAAGAAAACTGATCATCAGCAGGACCCAAACGTTGGTTCTACTCTCCCCAGTGGGGGACGACGGTGGGGGGAGGCGGGACCCCTGCGGGGAGGGAATGTGTGAGAGACTCTGGGGCAGCTGCCCTGTCTGCCCTTTCCTTTGGGGCCTTGAGAATACAGGGTGCGACCAACTCCGAGCCCCACTGCTTGGCTTTCTCACCTCCCAGTTCTGAGCCTGTGCTCAGCCACGTGGCTTCCAGCCACCATCTCTACCCTCTGGCAAGCCCGATTCTCTCCTGTACTCCCTCCAAACAGTGATGGCAGCCACTCAAGCAGAGAGGAAGCTCACCCCACCACACCCAGTCTGAGAACTCTTGCATTTCTATATCCTCTAAAGCAGATCTCTTCTGGGGATGGAAAATTTGATTTGGCACTACCTGCAAAGTAGTGTCTGGAGATTCTTATGAAGTCCAGAGTATTCTGGGCATCGGTCCCCACTGGTGACTGTTGCTATGTTTCACTCTCTATCTAGGCCCACGTGACTTCTCAAATGTGGACAGTGTCCCAGATTCCAGAAGGCTTGTTGCCCAGCTGGGAACCAGCATCCCTAGGGTGTCACAAAGCCCCTCCTCACTAGGGTCCTGTCACCTCTAGGGCCCGCAGACCCACCTCTTCCTAATTCAATGAAGAGGCCTCCTCCAGTTTTCCTCCCCCTGAGTTGTCCCCTCGTACCTCTAAAACTCTAGTGCTTCACCTCCAGGACAGCCCACCCTTACCCAGGGATCACATCAGATCAACCCTTCTTCATGCCAACACTCAGGTAAAAAGACACTCCAGAGTTTCAGGGACAGGAAGCAGACACTCCAGAGTTTCAGGGACAGGAAGCAGACACTCCAGAGTTTCAGGGACAGGAAGCAGACACTCCAGAGTTTCAGGGACAGGAAGCAGACACTCCAGAGTTTCAGGGACAGGAAGCAGACACTCCAGAGTTTCAGGGACAGGAAGCAGACACTCCAGAGTTTCAGGGACAGGAAGCAGACACTCCAGAGTTTCAGGGACAGGAAGCAGACACTCCAGAGTTTCAGGGACAGGAAGCAGACACTCCAGAGTTTCAGGGACAGGAAGCAGACACTCCAGAGTTTCAGGGACAGGAAGCAGACACTCCAGAGTTTCAGGGACAGGAAGCAGACACTCCAGAGTTTCAGGGACAGGAAGCAGACACTCCAGAGTTTCAGGGACAGGAAGCAGACACTCCAGAGTTTCAGGGACATGAAACAGTCCTCCCTTTCCCGGGGTGGAAGTCGGGACAAGAGAAACCAACATCACTTCGTTCCCTTTCCTAGTAACTCGCCCTGCTATGCCACCATTTATAGAGTGCTGACTATGTGCCAAGCACAGTGCCAAGCACACTGCCTGCATGAGGTCATTCAATCCTGCACCGGCCTTGGGTAGTAAAGGTGTTTACTCCCCACCTTGTAGAGAGGTACGTGGGGATCAGCGTCTTGCCCAAACTCTTCAAGGCCAGTCGGCATAGGAGCCAGGACTCCAGTTCAAGTTGTCTGACTGCAAAGCCCAGGCTTGTAACCCCCTTGCCCAAACTAAGTCTTCCTTCAATCCCACTCCCATTGCTGACTCCCTCTGGAAGTTTCCTTCACTCAGCCTAATCAATCAACTGCTGAAACTGACACGGGACTGGTCAACTCCTTTCCTAGCTTGGGGTAGTGAGTCCCACCTACCTCTTGCACCTTCACCACTCACTCAGGTGAGTCGCCTCCCTTCCCACTCCTTTTCCATCCCCTAAAGAGAAAAAAAGACACTCCCCACCAAGGACCGGGTTCTACAACCCTGGCTATTTAGGCGCATTCACTCACTGGATTCTTTTATCGACCCCAAGAAGCAGAAGCAGGTTCACCATCCTTACTATATGAGTGAGGAAACTGATACTCAGACTCTGCAAGGTCATGGAGCTAATACAGACAAAGCCAGGGTTAGAAACCAGTCTATCCCCAAAGCCTCTAAACATTTTCTCACTGTGGATGGGTGGTCGCCACGTACGAGAGGTAGCTCACCCAGTATCACTAACAGCCGTGCCTTGAGCCTGCACCATGCCAGGCACTGTGCAGAGGCCCTACATGCATACTTCATTGTGTCCATTTTACAGATGTGGAAACTGAAACTTGGAGATGACAGTCAACTTGCCCTGGACCAACTAAGTGTAGGCGGGGTTGGACCCAGCTCTGGAGGCAAGATCCGGTGAGATGAAAGGACACAAGACTCTCAATAGAGCATAAATTTTGGTTTTATGGACCTCCACTGAGGAGCTTTAGGGGAGCCGTGAGCTCCATGAAATTGTATGCAAATCTGTGTGTGCTTATCTGGAGGTGAGAGGCAGGGCAAAAGATTTATAGCTTTTAATATATCCTCCAAGATATCCCTGACCACAAAAAATGTTAAGAATTCTTTACCTGCCACTCAATACCTGGTGAGTGAATGAACATGTAAATGAGTGAGTGAATGAACGAATGTTCCTCCATGCCCAGGCACAACATATGACCTTGCACACACATCTGTCTGTATCTTCTGACATGGCAAAAGCCATCCTGGGACCTGAGCCCAACCCGCCCCCAGGCCCTTTCTCCCAGCTCCAGAGGCCATAGCCAAGTGCTATGATGATCTCCAAAAAGTGCTTCCCCCACATTCTCCCCACCCCAGCTGCTAACAATGACCAGGCAGAGGCGGGAGTTGTGCAACTCAGATAACAAAGCTGTATTGATGGCCAGGAGGGAGCAAGGGTGAAGTAGGGCTGAGGTGAGAAGTGCTTGGGAGGCAGGGCAGGGGATCCCCCAGTGAGATCTGTGTCCACAGAGGGGGCCTTCTGGGCTTGAGCAGTGCTGAGGAGCCTCAGTTCTTGGTGCGGAGGACCTGCTCATGAGTGGATACCACCTTGCCATCATGCACGTCCATGACCTTGGTGCGGATCTGACGGCTGGAGGAGGTCACTGGGAAAGAGGGAAAAGAGGGTGTTACCAGAGGTGGACAGACAATGGAGTAATTGGAGTGCGGAGGCCAAGAAGTTGAGGAGACTTGAGTGAACTGCCTCCTACTGCCCTCTCCCCTGATTTTCGTTTCACTCACTGCTGATGCCCAAGCACTGATCCATCGACATATTTCTTTTCTGACTAGGGCTCCCCAAGGGCAGGAGCAGAGTCTGTGTCCTCAGACTGCAGCTTCCTAAGAGCTCAGACCCAACTGGTACAGCCAAATTAACCCCCATGGACTGGTCTCGGTGTGAAGAGCCATGCAGGGTCCTGTCCGTGGTGCTGACCTCCATTATCATGGGGTCTACCACAGACACAGGTTGGAAGTAAAAGGTGGGGGCCACTGCTCCTCACCCTAAGGAGGGTTTAGAAAATGGCTTCTTCTACCCAAGTAGGTTCATAAGAAATACTGGCTAAGAACACTATAGCTCAACCCCTCAAGAAGCCGCTAACCAATGACCTCGACCTGCCAGGGTACAGAGGGTGGTCCTGAGCCCAGGCTTGATGAAGAGTGAGGTCTTACCATCTCTGGATGACTGAGAGCCAGAGGAGAACTGGGAGGAGGAGAGGCTGTGGAGATTAAAAGAGAAAGAACCATTAGACACATGGGGAGGAGGGCAGTGAGTGTGCAGTGGGGGCGTGAACTGGGGGATGGCCGGGCACTCACTGGGCGTCCTCGCCCTCCAGCAGGCGGCGGTAGGTGGCGATCTCCTGCTCCAGCCGCGTCTTCACATCCAGCAGGATCTTGTACTCCTGGTTCTGCTGCTCCATCTCGCAGCGCAGCTGTGCCAGCTGCTCCTCCACACTGCCGATCAGCTCCTGGATCTGCGCCAGCTGCATGCAGTAGCGGCCTTTGGTCTCCTCCAGGCTGCTCTCCAGGGATGCTTTCTGTGAGGGATAGAATGAGGATCGGGGATCAGTGAGGATGGTCATTTCCTCCCTGCCAGTCCCAGGCCCATCCCCATGCACAGCAGCGTTCCTACCATGCTGAGCTGGGACTGCAGCTCGATCTCCAGGTTCTGCAGAGTGCGCCGCAGCTCAGAGATCTCGCTCTTGCCGCTCTGCACCAGCTCGCTGTTGGTGGCCACCTCGCGATTCAGCTCCTCTGTCTGCAGAAAAGAGAACACCAATCTTTTCTCAGACTCCCAGAAGGTCCAAGAAGGCAGGTTGTCTGGGTCTCTACTACACCAAATGACACCCACCTTGGTGAAGAACCAGTCCTCAGCGTCCTTGCGGTTCTTCTCTGCCATCTTCTCATACTGGTCTCGCATCTCGTTCAGGATGCGGCTCAGGTCCACACCAGGAGCTGCATCCATCTCCACGTTGACATCTCCGCCCACCTGGCCTCTCAGGGAGTTCATCTCCTGCACAACCCAAGAACAGACCACAGTCAGGAAGCTCACTGTGGCAGCTGGTTGGGGTTTCCTGGTCAGAGGTGTTCCTGGCCTGAACATCGCCCTCCCACCATGTCAGCTCCATCTCTTCCCTCCCTGCTATTCTTTTTTTTTTTTTTTTTTTTTTTTTTTTTTTTTTTTTTTTTTTTTTTTTTTTTTTAAAA